AACCATGAATCTAGATATCTTGATTGAGTCAGACAGGCAATGATTCTAATATCCTCAAACGTTTTTAGGAAGATTTGCCACTTTTACAACATTCACTTCACCCTTGAATAAAGAAAGGAGGAGGACACAATATCATTGAGAATAGTATCACCTCTAGCACCTCTTCTCCTCATAACTTCTGTAATCAGCTCACCACTCAAGTCTATGCCATCGAGATAGAGAGAGATGGGAATAGTGTACAAGATGAGAACAAAAGGGTGTCTTAGAGAAATTGATGGCCATGGAGAAAAAACGCTAGTACTCCTGATTTGATATATCAATAGTATGATCTGAGTGCAAGCAATGTTTTATGACATTCATTTCCATAATGGTAAAATAAAGTAGATTAAACAAATTTTCCATCATCCAACAAGAAAAAGTGACCAAATAATAAAGCCATTTGCAGCTGTATCAACAACATCTATATACAAACGAAGCAAGAAGTTTCATATATGTTCCTATTTCAATTCTAAATTTCATATGCAGGTACAATATATTGAAATTAGTCACTTGAACATAAATTATTCAAGTACTGATCCAAGAGAACTGACATGATGCTTATAAGTAACTTATATGATGAATTTTGAAAAGTAGGTAGACCTATACTGATGCAGGACGAATTAAAAAAATAGAAAGAAGAATCAAGAAAGAGGGGAGAACCGGAGAGAATGGGGGAAGAAACTGGAGAAGAAGTAAAAATTCATAGGGGAGAAGAAGAAGAAGCCATAGGCAACAAACCACCAAAATATTCTTTAATTCATCAAAACTAATGAAATTACATCGCAATTATGTTTAAATAGTAAAGACTAAAACTTAAGTAGAATGGACTCGGGCCAATACAAGCCCAATTACATAAATAAAATATAAAACATAATTAAAGTCCAACTAAAAATAAATAAAAAGTAGATGTTCTCATCAACTCTCTCGGGATGGGAGAAAAACTCGACCCTGTCGAGTTGATAGATAATATAGGCTGCAGTCAATCTGATACTCCAAATGCGTCAAGCCACGGGGGACGATCTTTCTGACGAACCAAGTAATGAAATTCTATGATTGATAGTACTGAAAACTGTAGCTTATTCCCAAGAATATGATCTGATCAAGGGGCGATCTTTCCTTCTAACCAAGTACTAATACTGGACTCCAAATAACCAATACTCATTTACCTCATCTTCAAGATTTTCACATGATTGTATATAATGAGGAGCATAAGAAGCATGTCGATTTACCCAACAAACAAAGAAGTACTGAATCTTGCCATCATTGGTCAATACGATACGTTCATTTAAAATAACATCAATTTTATCTTTATGTGCTGTGATAGATGGTATTGAAGTAGAAATATCAACATAGTCAAGTTGGGGATCCATAAAGCTAAGTAGAAATAGATCATCAAAGAAAGTAACACAGTGTTTGTAAGTAATGAAGTCATTACTATTTAAAGCAAAGTGGTAGTCAAAATGTGATGAAAGGGCAATGACATGTGCATTTGAACCAACATGCTTTAAAAATTTTAAAGGACCAACACTACAAGCTTGCAATATAACATAATCCCCAATATTAAATTCAAAATATCGTTTATGCGAATCAGCTTGAAATTTATATAATGCATTACTTGCGTCATGTTGTTTATTGATCTCAACATGCAAATCAAGAAGATGACGTACAAATGCCTCAGCTGACATAGACATACTGATATGTGGAGACATTAGAATAAGGTCTAAAGGTTTCCTAGACTTATAACCATGATTAATTTCAATGGAACTCGTACAGATAAATCAATGCACAAAATTGTTATATGTAATTTGAATTGTTGGGAGGATCAAATTCCAATTCTCAAGATTTTCCTTGAAAAGGACATGATTACACAAATCATCCGTACCTTTGGGTTGGCAAAGAGTATTGACACACAATATTTAACTAAGGGGTATCCGGAACAAGGGGTACAACCCCTAGATTTATAGGAAAGGTCCTAATACTACATAAGGAAGTGTCCTCAATATCATTTAAGTAATCACGTTCTTCAAATTTAGGTTCATAAATTTGATCTTTTAACGACTCTTCTATTACATCCTTTCGTTCTTCTATGACTAAGGCTCGGTTAGGACATTTGGAAGAGATGTGGCCAAAGTCCTTACAGCTAATGCATAGCAGGTGAGAAGTCTTTGGAATTTCAAAAATTTTACCCTTATTTTCCAAGATTTGAGGAACATTAGACGGGGAAAGTTCTATGATAGACTCATGTTGAGGTGGCGCTAATGACAAAGGAGAACGATGGTGGTCGCACTTTTCATATGGAGTGCTAATAAGTAACTCGTAGTCCCGAGCTGAAGAGTAAGCGTGATCAAGAGTAGTGACGCCTCGAAAGAAAAGCTCACACCTGATTTCATATCTTAGACCTTGTATAAACCTACTCAAAGTCAGGGCCTCATCCTCAACGATATGACATTTCACTCGAAACTCCTCAAATTTAGCAATGTAATCAGTTACTAGCCGATTCCCTTATGTAAGGGTGTTCCATTGGGTAAAAATTCCATGATCTAAGCAACCATCGAAAGTATGAATATCTAAGTCAATGTCTCTAAAGAAACGCTCCTTATGATGAGGAAGAGAATGAGTACCATGATGAACCTGATCCCTATTCCTACGATCGAGCCGAAAATATTCTTGATCACTTTGTCCACGATGATATTGTCTATTATGAGACGCTTCAGAATTAGTGTCAGTCAAATAAGGGGTTCGCTTAAAATTGCTCAACTTAGCAGCTAGGTTCTTTCTCTTCTCACGAGTAGCAGTTATATCTGATTGGACAGTCGATAGGCTAGTGGCAAGTTGCGCTAATTGTCTAGTGAGTGCATCAAATTGGGATGGATCCACGGTCAATGTATTGGAAATAGAGACGACAAGACGACCACTACACAACTACCTGCGATGTAATACCAGCTAAATGACGTGCTATGATGAGATCAGTGAACAATACGTGCAAGCAACGAAAAATAACTTGTACCAATTTTTTATTATTTAATTTTAAATATTGGGATTATTTAAATCCAAAACAAGCTAATACTGCTGGTACATATAAAATGGCAAAGCAAGGGTCAACACACTAATCAAATTCTCCAATCAATTTAAGTGGGGAACAATGGAAGTCAATTCTATCATTGGTGTCAATTCGATTAATGGTTTCGATCAAGTGGGGTTTAAGGCTAAAATTATCACGATAACAGCAGCACAAGATTCTAATTGATGCAATTTTAAAAATGAGGCAGTAGTATAAACTAATACTAAATAGAGATCAAGGACTCCCTGTAGTTTAGTTTTGATTATTTGTATGCCGATTGATCTGAAGTGAGCCCCAACTATGCTTCTGTTCTTCCCTTCGTGTCCAATGGTTTTAGCCCCTGTTGACTGTAACTTGTGCTGGTTTTGGCGTAGACGAAAAATGAGTGTGGTGACTGTAGCTTTTAGATTGTTGAGATGGACGAGGAAATATATGAGTGTGGTAACTGTGGTGGAAATGTATGATCTTGGATTGGTGGTGGCTTATGGCGATGAAGTGGTAGTGCTCTGGATGCCTGGGTACAATAGATAATGAAGTGGTGGCATGATGGTGATTAGAGGCGGCGACGGCAAGAGAGTGGTTGTGAGAGAGGAATCGGGTGAAACTGTGGGGTATTTGATGTTAATGGATTGGTTATAATCGGGCTTGGTCGGATGTTTCGGACTGAACCAGATGGGAAGGGGTTTGGATCCTGTTATATAGATGGGCCAGCCGGGGTTAGTGTTTGGGGAGTGGGCCTACGTCGTAAAGAGTAGGCTGGGTTTGTTAGGCTAAATGGAATTGGACCGTGTGTAAGTAGGATTAAATGTCAGGGTTGGAATTTGTGAAACAACACGACAATTGTATAAAAGAAACAATAGCAAAAGAAATTTTTTTTTTTTAAAAAAAAAAAAAACTGAAATTGGGCTTGAACAGTAACCCCGAACAGTAATTTTTTTTTTTTTTTTTTTTGGGAACAACTATGAAGAAGCTGAAAAAATAATAACTCGGCTGCTCACGTTAAAAGTTTATTTGTTTATGCTGTTTCAGAAGTTCTTGGGAAAGAAATAGGAAGAGATTTTTGGATTGGAGATGAGAGATTACCCAAATTTAGGCTCTGATACCAAATTTGATGCAGGACAAATTAAAAAATAAAAAGAAGAAGCAAGAAAGAGGGGAGAACTGGAAAGAATGGGAGGAGAAACCGGAGAAGAAGCAGAAATTCATGGGGGAGAGGAGGAGGGAGAGGAAGGAGAAGCCGTAGGCAACAAATCACCAAAATATTCTTCAATTCATCAAAACTAATGAAATTACATCGCAATTAGGTTTAAATAGTAAAGACTAAAACCCTAAGTAAAATGGACTTGGGCCAACACAAGCCAAATTACATAAATAAAATCTAAAACATAAATAAAATCCAACTAAAAATAAATAAAAGTAGATGTCCTCATCATATACTACTTCAAAACCCATCTTACAATTTACTTATATGCTCCACCCAAACATGCTCATACCAAACCACATAATTTAAAGCAACCAAAAATACCTTATAATAGCTCCATTCTGTCTTGTCACTGGATTTGTATGAAAGTGGATTATCACTACAAAATGCGAGCTTTGCAGTTGAGACATATAAAACACCCATGACTGGACCCGCTGATGTGGATAAGTAACATGCAAATGAATTACGGAGTTGCTCTTCAGGAACAGTCTCAAATGTTTGCCGAAATATTTTCTCATATCCACCTTCTGCTAGAACCTTTGTTCCCTGTGCAATTCTTCCCAGAGCAGCATCAGCTAGACTAGGACTTGTTTTCACTAAAACACAAAAGGATATTTAGTGACTTCTGTGCAAAAGGATTCTCCAGGAGCAGAGGAACAGAGAGCCTATGTTATATTGGAAAATCTTGAAAATCAAGAGCTGAGTAATGTTTTTATCTGGGTTGTTGAAATTAAATCTACATGTCTCATTTACTCTAATAATTTTTGCTATCCATTAGAACTATTGTTCTTTTCTATCACATCCAAGGATTCAATTTGATGGCAATGACTACATGTTCCAAGGGGGATTATTATGAGTTTGATGAGATTTGCCTAATCACAGATCAAGTCCCCTCCCTTCCTCATCATCTTATAGACCCATTTTCTCAGTAATAATGTTTCCAAAGGCATTTTCTTTATGTCGCCTCACATCAGGGTGTTTTAAATTTTCAACGGCAACAAAAGGGATATAGGTGTTAGGGGTTAATGCCTCATTTAAGCAATCATACATCCAATAATACTGCTGTGAATTTTCTGCGTCAAGGTCAGGGCCTGTCTAACACAGAAATTTCTTGTTGATAAGAAATTCAAGTTTATAAGACTTAAGCAATGCTTCCTTTATAAGGATTAGCCTTTAAATAAAATTTCAGCGTTCCAAAATCAAACCTGCCTGCCAGATAAAAAGAATAAGAAGAAAAACCACTCACCACTAAAAGCTGTAAAGGTTGAAGGATTGACTTTGAATCATAAGCATCTTTCTCATCATCAAGATTTGTAAGATGCAAGTTTACCAAGTTGGAGTTGTTAATTTTTCTGCCTTTTCTTTTCTTTTTATAAATTATTACTGTAAAATATGTGTTTTTGGCCCCTCAAGCTTTGGAATATTTTGCTTTTGCTGAAAAATCATTGCTCAGTATCTCACGGGGTAGCCTAGAAATTAACTAAAAAAGCTCCACTTCTAGCAACTTCATTAAGGTGCTGTCTTTTTAATTTTTTTCCCCTTCAATTACTTTTCCAATTCTGTTAAGAAGAAGAAGACCCACAAGAATCCCATCTTTCTCCCCCCTCCAGGGCATGAAATAGTCTTTCAATGCCTTCAAGGTAGTAGAAAAGGGCAAAGAGTTGTGCACCTCCATAAATTTCTTCATACACTAGCAAACAACAAACAATATTTGTAAAGACACGTACACAGTTGTGTGTAAGTATTTTTTGTTGCTCTGTCATGGTGTCAAAATGCAAACACAGTCACTCATTGAGCAAAAAAGCTTGCTAATAGAGTCGTATTGATTTTATTTGTAAACTCTGAAGTGTTTCTAAATTTCTCAATGCCTATAAGAAGAGGGCTCTTAGTATTTTGGCTATTTCTACATGGATGATGGTTGTGAGAAAATAATTGGTGGGTGTTATAAGAGATGTCATGTGGTGGCAATTGAAGGAAAATGTGAACTTGACCTAACATGTTTTTCCATCACCAATTCACCATCTAAATTAATTTTTTTATGTATGCGGAAAAACTATCACCATCTAAATGGGAAGCACCTAAAGGAGAGGTCATGTAATTTTAGAAACAAGAGAGAAGTAGGGATGGCAATGGGACGGGTCGGGGAACCAGTCCCATCCCCCGCCCCGTCGGGTATTTTTCTTTCCTTGCCCTAGGGCTTTTCCATCACATTTTATCGTCTCGTTTATTTATTATTTTTAAGACCATATTCGGTATTACCAAAAAAGTACAAGGCTCGCCACCATTCAAATGTGCCTAATTGCATATAAAGATTAATATGCACCATTCAACCAGCCTTACACTTGACGAACAGGAAGAAATGCCACAAAGGAACCAAGAACAAGATTCTATGTTTGACTGATTATGAATTCAAAAGTTTACACTGATCATTTGCTCATTCAGACCATGTCTAGACCAAAATCATCCACCAAGTCAGTAAACCCCAGTAGATTGCAGGGGCATGTTAAGCAAGTTTCTCTATGGCCAATATACCAACTTGATTCCACTTATCCAATTATCACTGTAGGTTCTTGGGGACCTGGGCCATTTTGGATGGGGCCTGGGGTTATTTTTGGGTAGGGCATGGGTTATTCATGATTTTAAAAATCAGAATTTAAACATGGCAGGTCGTGGGCAGGACCATGTTCCCCATCCCTGGTCCAGGGCAGCATCTGTCACCCACCCCCAGTACAAGTACCAGATTACGCATGTAATACCCGCCCCATTCAAGATAGGAGCAGAACGAAAGGAATTTGGATTTACTATGTTTGGCATGACCATGAGGCCATGAATAATGAGATAACTGAATTAGAGTAGCCAGATTCAACAAGAAATAAATGAATATTGTTAATGCCCAAAATTAACCCCATCCACCCTTTTCAATACACATCTGCATATCAACCCAGACATATATCAACCCAGACGTCTAACCACAACAATCCACCCATCCCTCTTAACTATCGACTATGTGATGTGATGTGTTTGTGTGCATACATGTAGGATGAAATTTCTCACTTTCTGAAACTTCATTATATATATTGACATCAACATACTCCTATTCCATCTACAAGGATTTCCCCCTAGAAAGGTAATGGAGACGTTGTGGGATGCATAAAAATTAACATCCTGCTCACCACATTCATTCAATGCTCTTGAAAATCAAATATAAACAAACTAAAATATAGGAAAAAACTTACAGTGCTGCCAAGTATTCTCAGCAAGATCCTCAGCCTTCCTTGTTGCTTCTCCCACCTTCTTTCCCCATCTTCCTAACACATCCTTCACATTTTCCATTGTACCTACAAGAAAAAAAACAAACATTCAACCTTTTTACATAAGTGTTCTTGTGCCATTAAATTAACAGCTATGCTGTCAATCAATTCCATCAAAATCTACTTCATAAATCCATTTTTTAACAACGTCAAATTCAAGAAAAATACAAAATAAAAAACTACAAAAACATTTAGAAACTCAATTACCAAAAAATATTATAAGCAAAAAATAAATAACAATTAAAACAATCCAAGCTAGATTTCCTGAATACCATGTAATTACAAGGGGAAAAAAAAAGTACCAACTCCTGTGCTAATTAGCTCTAGTTCAATAAATATGGACTTCAAATTTCAAATACTGTGCATCGAACTTAACAAATGAGAGTCAATATTCATACTAAATTCAAACAAATTTATACCAATAACATTTATTTTTACGCACATACAAATAGAGTAAAACACACCTCAATCCAATCGAAAAATGCATAAATCTCCACAAAAATCCAATCTATAATAGCATAAGCATTTCGAGGAATAACAGTAGCCAAAAATTTTATAACAAATCAACAAAAATACCCTATATCTGTACGTATTACGAATACTGACTTTTAAAATTGAAGGAAGAAGAATCATTGGAAGGCGCTGGCGAGTAAGCAATGTAAGGATTGGATTCACGATTGTTATCCCTCGACACCGGCGATTCCGTCACCAATTCCTCGCTCCACCTCACCGATTTTTTTGATTTCAATTCTTTATTATCTTGATTACTCTCCTCATCTATACTCACATTAAGATTGGCATTATCTCCTTGTTTTACGGCCTCCACCTTTGCTTCGCCCTTAGGCTTGGGATCTGGGTTGGGTCCAGGAACCGGGTTCGGATCTTTAACCGATGGAGTCTGATCCGGCTCCAATGATACTGCTTCCATTTCACCATTGTCGTCTTTATCGATCGGAATCGGACGCTCCATCCTTTTCAAGAATTTGGAACTCGGGGAAAATTGGAAAATTGATTTTTATGGATCGAGGCGCGTGGGATGGCGCGTGGAATTTAAAGATTTGGCTGCTAGGGATGGGGACGGGAGTACCGGTAATGATGGTGATTGTAGTGAAGCAAGGAGTGACGAGGTGACCGGCTAATTTAACGGAGGAAGTGAAATAAGAATCTGACGTCAATTATTAGACAAGCTATTATAGGATTCCTAGAAAAATTTCCTTGGATAAAATTGAATAATTGGTCCCCATATATATAGTTTTTTGAACAATTGGTCGCTGATCCTTTTCTAGAACAAAATCCTCCCTCAAAATAGCCTCATGTGTACATCACTTTTCAAGTGATCATTCTTATTTTATTAGTTTTTCAACCTCACTACAAGCAATGATGTTGGAATGGTGTCAACTTGCTTTGTGTGAGAGAAAAGTTGTTCTTCTGTTTGCTATCTTCATTTTCATTGTCATTTTTCACTCTGTATGTGATCCTCTTTTACCTTCTTTTGCTTTTAAATTTTTTAGTTTTTCCCCTATTTGAGATTGTTAATGTTTGAGCTCTCTTATTTTTTATTACATAATTTCTTTTTTATCTTTCTTCGATTATTCATGATTGCTAGTGGTTTCACATTTACTTCGCAATACAATATCTTGAGCCTCGATGGCAATGACAGATAAAACTATGATATCATTGAGTCTCAATGACAATTGGATGTACAGGCATCGAAATGTTATTAGTCATATTTATACTTAAATTCATACGGTACATCTCGGTGGTATTCATGACCAAAGGTAAAAATGAATGAGTTAAGATAGTGAGGAAATATGTAAATTCCAAGAATGAGATCATTATGAAAATGTATTATATGTCGTGCATGTGCATATGGTCACGCCTGTTTTCTGAGTACCTCATCGTGGTTCAGGGGTCTATCGCAAAGAAATTCGAAAAATGTTTTGTCTTACTCTAGAGGTATTTAGCTTTTGAAAATAATTGATTCCTTTATAATATTACTCTATTAATTCTGAATTTGCAAAGAAAAGAAATCCCAATTTGGGAAAAAATTGATAGTTCAGGACTAATTCAACATCTAAGAAAAGCTAAGCCATGTCATGAATTGGACCAGCGAATGCCTAAAACCAAGTCATGCATCTAAATGGACACTCCTATGATTTTGGAAAAAGTATGAATCAACTGATCCGCCAAACTACTTGGATCTTCTATTAGAATCTGTATAAAAGAGTGGACTACTCGACGTTCCTTCTCAGTTGATCTCAAGCTGAACCACGTCAGAAACTTCTTTCTGAACTCCGTCTTAATATGGCCATTGCATTCCAACCAACGAATGGTTTTAAGACAGTATTCAAAGTTCTCACCCAAGCTTCCAGCCATATTCCCGGCTTGGGATGGTGTTGCATTGCTCATATTGCTACCGGAATCCTGCATCTCCATGGTTTTATGAGTAGTCTTTGGGCAACCTTCCACCTCCGAGTCAACAACCGGTGCTTCATCAGTTTTTGTGTGGTTCCAGCTGTCTCTAGGTGGCTCGACTGGAGGCATAAACTCTATATTCAGATCAGGCACCGGAGAAACATTCAAGTCAATGTCCCCTGGAATGGATTTCAACGTGTCTTCAAGTGCAGCGTCTGGTCTAAGAAAATTATGATTCCCTTGTTCTTGACCCCATGCCAGCCTCGAGATCTTCCCTAGGTCTTGAATCTTGAATGAGGATTCGGGTTCAATGTCTGTTGCACTCTTGGCACGCTTCGCACAAGACCTTCCTCCATCATCTGAATTCTCCTTTTGTAGATTTGCTGCAAAGGTACAAAAAATGTTAATTCATATGACTGCGGAATTTCATATTTCAAGAGAATAGATGGTAAAATCTCAGAAAAGCATTACCAATGCTATTTAGGTTTGTGCTACACTTTGAGGCCAGCCATCCATCGG